TTTGGATGAGTTCTATAGGATAGGCTAAGTAAGGTTTCTTAAAATAATTATGGATTAAAATTTAGGCTAAAGATGCTTTCTTCCTTTTCCAAACCTATAGATTATGAAGAAGCACAGTCTGGCCTATTAGCATGGAGTCACTTTAGCCTATTCAAGTCTTACACATGGATATTCCTTTTGGATGAGTTCTATAGGATAGGCTAAGTAAGGTTTCTTAAAATAATTATGGATTAAAATTTAGGCTAAAGATGCTTTCTTCCTTTTCCAGTAACCTATAGAGGCATGTTGCATTGCCCCAGAGATTGTTGCATTCAAAATTAGAGTAATCTCTCTGGTAAATTTTTATTGCTGACTTGCTTTATTATCTGTCTGCACATGTCTTTGAATGGTAAAGGTTGGGGAAAAAAAAGTTTCAGGGGTGATTTCTTCATTGACCCCTTGATCCTTTGTTTCACTAAGAGCTTCATTACCATTTTCTATTCATGATAGTCTAATTATTCAACCATATCCATAGAAGAAACTGCTAATCCTAGTTTGTGAGGTCAGTTTCTATGGTATTTATTTTAGATTTGGTTAAAGGTTTAAAAATCCAAAATAACAAATTCAAGGTTTGAAGTATTACCTTTAAAAAAAAGTTTTCTGAAGTATTTTCATAGAATCTAAAATACTAACCTAGAGTATTTTTTTTATTACTTTGTTATCTCTTAACAACTGCTGCAGCAAACTTTAAGAAATTCGTTGAAAATAGGCTACAAAGCATTCAGGATTTGTTGATTGTTATTTGAAATAATGGAGTTGTATTTGTTGGAGTAAGGGGGGAAGGTGACAGTGAAAAGAAATGATTGGATGATGGCTGAAATTTGAGGATGAAGTGGAGTATTTTGAAAAATTGTAATGTGTTAAAAAAGAATATTGTTGTTAAGTACTTTTTTTTAATCTCTGAAGCAAAGTAATGTGAAAACTAGCTTTTTAAAGTATCACTTATATTACTAAAGCTTCATAGATCTCATTCAAAAGGTTTTGGAGTACTAGCTCAAGAAATAAAGATTTGCTTAATTTTTCATTCACCTACTATAGTAGATACCTAGCAGCAAAATTATTTGCAGTTCTGCTACTTTGTGAGCAATGTATTTTTTGTTGTGTAGATTTATAAAGGGAGTCAGGCCTGTTTTGTTGTTATGAAAGAAACACTGAGTATCGTCCTTTCAGGTAATTTTTACTACCATCTTGGGGAAATTTTTAAAAAATTATATATCATTGCTTACTGTTAGCCCTCTGAACTGTGATTTTTTTTATGACAGTTTTCTGAAGTGATGATAGCACTCTTGGCTACAGTGAAAGATTTTGTTCTTTAGTGTTTCACTGAGACAATAATGTCTTCTTTAGAATTTATATTTCTAATAAATTAAGGATTTTTAAAGGAGTACTTTGATGTTCTAGTAAAGGTATCTCAGAGTTTTGTTTTGTTTTGTTTTTTTCTTAAAAAGAAGCATAGTGTAGTAGACCAAGTACAGACTCTAACACCGTGTTACCTGGAGTCAAACCCATATTTGTGCTTTACTAGTTGTGTAACCTCGAGTAAATTAACCTCTTGTTGCCTCAGTATCCCTCTCTCTATAGATAGATAGATAGATAGATAGATAGATAGATAGATAGATAGATAATGGGACATTGAAAATACCTACACCATGGGATTGTTGTTACTGTTAAATCTGTGGATGTCAGATAAGTGCCTGGCATATTTTTAAATCTAGATAAATTTTACGTTATTATAATTGAAATAATCCAGAAGTACAGAATTTCCCTAGTCACAAAGCATAATGAATATTTTCTCCAATTTTATCTCACATAGTATAAGTTGGGTTTTTTGTTTATTTTTGGTCCTGGGCATTGAACCCAGGGACACTGTATCACTGAGCTATATCCCCAGCGTGTAGCTTGGTTGATTGAGTGACTGACAGTGTCTTGATTGAGTTACCAAGTTGCTGAGGCTGGCCTCTAACTTGCAGTCCTCCTGCCTCAGGCTCCCAAGGCACATAGCATAATTTTTAAAATTTATTTTTAAATCTACAAACAGCTGTGTTCACTTTTTCAAATGTATAGTTTGGGGAGTGTACATCAGTGGAAGAGCTGTGCACAGCATCATGAAGCCTTGGCTTCTATCCCTAGCACCAAAAAAACAGTACTTCATGAGACTTTTCACTCAGTACTCAGTCTTATTACTACTGTTGCATCCACAAAACAAGCCAGCTTCCCCCGCCCCAAAACCTTCTTTGTATAGTCAGACTTTCTCCCTCGTTTGACCTTTGCTAACTGCTGCTCTGTTTCCCTCTCCTATAGACTTATGTAATGCAGAATATCATATAAAATAATGTCTAGTTCTAAAAAAAATGTGTTTTTCTTGAGCCTGGCTTCTTTCACTCAGTACAGTGCTTGTGAAATTAACTCAAGATGCTGCGTGCCTTGGTAATTTCGCCTTTACTGCTCAGAAATATTCTGTCTTACAGATTTATTGCAGTTTCTGCCCCTCCCTGCCAGTTGGCTTATTTCCAGTCTTAGGCAATTAAGAATAATGCTGCTATGGATAATTATGTAGAACACTTTGTGTGAACCTTCATTGTCATTTGTCCTGAATATTCAGTCGTGGAATGTCTGGGTTATGTGATAAGTGCAGATTAAACATTTTAAGAAACTGCCCGTTATTTTCCAGAGTCGCTCTGCCAGTTTGCATTCTCACCAGCAGTGCTTGGGAGTTCAGGTTACTCGTCATTGTCAGCACTTGACTTTGTCATTTGTTTGTATATTCATGATTTTAATTTTAGCTATTCCAAATAAGTACCCCGTCAGTCCCTTAAAACAGGAAAAGACTGGATTAAACGCAAAACTGGGGAGCTCCTGAGAAAGAAACTGTTTGTGAGATGTGTGAGAGCTTTGGCAGTGTCTGTCACAGTCACCATTTTTGTTCCCAAGTGCCTAGCACGTGTTTGGCATGCAGCAGGGATCTCTGTGTTTATTGAACCCTTAAAAGTGAACAAATGATTGAAAGATAGGGAAAGAAATAGTAGAATGGAAAAGTCGTTGTAGATTGGATTTGGTCTGAATAATCTGTGTATTTGTGTGACATAACCCTTTACATCTATTTAAGTCTTCACTTGAGTATAGGTTTAAAGATTAAGTTGGTACTCTGAGCCTCGACTCTAGCATGAGGGAGGTAGCATGATTTGGAGGAAGAAGGCCTAGGCAGAAAAGATCGGATGCTGTTGACTTTCTGTGTCTGTCTTAACTCTCCCAGACCTGTTTCATCACTGTGCAGCACCGATTCCACCAGGTGATAGCTGTGAAAAATCTGTGAGTAGGAGAGAAGCCCAGGAGGGCCTGGGGTGGGGGAAGCAGTGTGCTGAGAGTGTCAGCACAGCTGAGCTGATGCAGGATTGATGGGGAAACAGCAATAGAAAAGCTTTTCAAACAGAGTAGGAGCATTGAAGGAGCTTCTTCTTTTTTGAGGGGAGAATGGAAAGAAAGCAGGGGTTGAGAATATTGAATTTAAAAGTTTGTGTTGCCCCGCATTTTTAAAAAAGCTTGAAAAGTTAAAGACAGAGAAGCTGCCTTTCCTGTCTTTACCCTCACAGAAAGGGAGGCGGAGGATGTGTGGGAAGCCAGAGCCCACCAAAGGCTGGAGGGTTTGGCCTGCTGCTCCCCAGGGGTCTTTTTCTCTTCTGTATTGCGTCACCCACTCTTAAATGCTCAGTTCTTAAGGTTACAAAAAGCCAGTTCTTAATTCTGTTCTGTTTATGCTTTGTAGGATTTTGTATACACACTGTCAAGTATTAATAAATTTTAAAAATATACTTAGTACCCAGATAAACACGATTGATTCTATGTTGGTAAAGGATTGACCCATTTTTTTGTTTGATATTTTTAAAAACCACCATGACATTTGAAATTTTATTTGTTCTCTGTTGTTATTCTTTTTAAAATTTTTAGGAGTCTTGATCTCTGGAATACTTTTTTTTTTAATATATCAATTTTAAGGCCACTATTGTTTTAATAATTTTAGTGTTTTCCATAATTTTATTATCCTGAAGCAGAATATAGTTTTGTTCTAATGTAGTCTAGATTATAAAATCAGATGTTTGATCTTCATTTTAAACTGTTTCATTTATTTAACAATATCCACATTATGTTCTTCCTTTGAGGACTCCCTGCGGTGATTGATTATTGGCAAATAGCTTAGTAAAGACAGTGAAGAGTCTGACTTCCATTTACCCCTTCAGCTAATAAAGAGCTAGTTTGTGGCAGGTGGCCAGAGTTGTTATTTTTAGAGTCTAATGTAAGAATAAACATTTATAGATTTAAGAAAAATTTATTTTTATATTAGTGCACTCTGTCGAACTGCCATTGCTTTTAGGTGTCCTCACCCCCAAGGAGGCTGTGCATGCAGTTCTTTGTCCATTATTTCTACTTCTGGGCAGAAAACAACTATGGGCATTTAAGATTTTGTGTTAGGTAACATCCTTCAAAGGAAAACACATTATTTCATGATAAATACTAATAATAATTAAAAACAGTTTTCTGAAACTAGACAAACACACCCCCATCCCTGGGAGATGAGACATTTACTCTGCTGAGAGTATCAATTTCTAATGTAATGGAAACTTGTTAGACCTATAGAACATGGTGGAGTGATACCTCCATGAAATTTAGGTTCTTGTATTTTTATCAGAGCCTTTTCTGTAACCCTCTTATTAAAGATTATTGGAACTGGGTGTGGTAGTGCCTGCCTGTAATCCCGACATTGGAGAGGCTGAGATAGGAGAATCGCACAGAGTTCAAGGCCAACCTGGGCTACATAGTAAGTTCAAGGCCAGTTTGAACTACACAGTGAAACTCTGTCTCTTTTTTTTTTTTTTAAAGGATTATTATTGTATATTCCTCACGCTAATGTGGAATTTGAATAATTAAATCTATAATAACAATATATCCTTTTTATTGTCTTTCAGAATCATGGTGTCATGGAAAGGGATTTACTTTATACTCATTCTTTTTTGTGGAAGCTTCTTTGGCAGCATTTTCATGCTCGGTCCTTTCTTACCTCTGATGTTTGTAAACCCACCTTGGTATCGCTGGATCAACAACCGCCTTGTTGCCACCTGGCTCACGCTACCCGCGGTAAGTTACACACTGGAGGAGGAGGCTGTGTGCCTGTACTAGAGTAGTTTAATGTATTGGTTTTGTTTTTTTAAGAGTCAGATTTGGGTTGTAGAAGAAACATAAGTTTGTCATATTTTATAAGGAGCATGTTACACTGTAAATAGGAAAACATGAAAACTAGAGAGTAATAAAAATATTTCATATTCTTAAAATAATGTTGCAAATTAGCTTCTTTCCATATTCTTAGTTTTCCTTTTTTTTCCATCATTCAGGCATGCATAGGGTGAAGGACTCAAACCTTAGAGGTCTAGATTGAAGAATTTTTCCATAATTAATTTTTTAATCATTTATTTTATTTTGCATTTTCATTTTGTGTTCTTTACAAGATAAAGACCTAAGATTCATATAGCAAACTTTTTTTGTTGTTGAACTTGCAACATTGATGTGATCAATTCAGTATGGACAAAGCGATTTGCTATCTGTCAGACTAGGTCAACACCTACCTGTAAGGTCAAAGTGCAAATTAAATGTGTTTTAGAGGCTTGTGACACTGGGGTACTCTCTGCAAAGTCATGCACACTCCTGTGGGCCTGAGCTGATGACTCAGATTGCAGCCTCCTTACCACTCTCCTCTGGGAGCACTTCAGTCCTTCCCTGTTGCTGCTCATCCTCATCCGTAGGGCTCACCATCACCAAGCCCTGCATCTCAGCCAGATTGAGAGGTGTGTGCAGTTGTTTTTCCCTTGAATGTTCAGGGTATATTTCCTGAATTTTCCTTGTTTTTCCTGAGCAACCACTGGAACTTAATGTTATGCCAGAGTTATTCATCTGTCATGGAAGAGAGGCAGTAAATATAGTACCTGGGGGAAAAAAAAGGGAATACTTGTTTATTTTCCATTGAGTTGCTGTTTCCCCTCAGGCTTCAGGCAGGCTGGCTTTCTTTGTGATGTTTGTAGTGAGGAAAGTATGGAAGTAATGCTGTAGACCCCTGAGGTGGAGGCTGATTGGGTGATATTTCCAGAAATGGTTGGTATGGGTTTCCTGCCTTTGTCAAGATTTTTCTTCAAAGTTTCCTGCAAATTGAATGTTAATTAAATCATTCACAATATACTCTTCTTTTTTGTATTTTAAAAATGAATCCTGTGGTGAATAATTTTAAAAATTGCATTCATTTCTTGGTACAAGTTATTTATATTTTTAAATTTTTATTCACATATATCTGTTGTAGAGAATACTGCTAAACTAAAAGTGATTCTCTCCCTCCTCCTTCTTTCCACTTACCTTGCTCTTCTTGTTGCTGAGACAAGATGCCCAGCACCCAAAGTTAAAGGCAGAAAGGTGTATTTCTGCTCAGTTTGTAGAGGTTTCTGTTCATAGTTGGCTGGCTCCCAGGCAGGGTGGTACGGCAGGTGGCACTGCAGAGCAGGCAGGCAGAAGGCAGCGAGTAACAAGCAACCACGGCAGCCCTCTTTCCACCCCTTATATTCTGTCCAGGCTGCTTGCCCTTGTGGTGGGTACCACTCACTCCCAGTGAGGGCCTTCTCATTATCCACTCTTAGAACTACACCAGACTAATCAGTGGGCTCATTTAGTAATCGCACGCTCTAGATCCAGCCACCACTGAAAAAGCCCCACCTATGACTGCCAGAGGTTCCTGGGACACATCTAGATACAAGCCATAACCCCTCTTCTTCCCCTTTTCTAAATTTGTACTTAAAGTTGTCTGTTACACAGCCACAAAGAAAGGGATGCACGTATTCTGGTAGATAACAAATAACCATGGTATGGTTGCATATTTACCTCAAATATGAAGAGAATTAGGATGTTCTGTTAAAAGGAAAAATAAATAAAAATCCAGGGGTAATGATGATAATAGCTGTAGATCAGGTAGATGGGAGATAGCTGTGCTTAAGGATGACTTCCTTTCTGATGCTACCATTATTCCCATTTTATAGAAAATAGAAACTTTAAGGAATTATATAACTAGTCACAAGAGTAATGTCAGTAGTAGGATGATTCTTTCATTGTGAATTTGCAAGAAGTAGTCTTAGAAAGCCCCCTCCCCCAAGAGAAGCCAAAGACATTTACTCAATTACCTGGAACAAAGTACATATTAATAAATATTTGCTGAATGAGTGAATAAACAAAATAAGATTCAAGGTCAAACCTTGGTATCAGAATTGTGTTGACTGCATACAATGAGCTGTGCAGTGTTAACCTCTATTTTTTGAAAGAATTTGTGTAAAATTGGTATTTTTTCCTTCTGTCTTACAGAATTTACTGGTTATACCAGCTGACTGGGGTTTTCTTTGTGGGAAGAATTTTGATAATGAATTTATTTCTTTAATAGATATTGACCTAATCAGACTTTTTTTTTAACTTCATATTTTGTCAACTTTGGCTAGGCATGTTTTTCAGCAAATGTTTAGATTTTAATCGAGCTGTTAAAGCTTAGGCATTACATTTTCTTTGTAGGACCTGCAATACCTATGTATCTGTAATACCATCCTATGTATTTTTGGTATTGACAATGTCTTCCTTTTTTTCTTAATCATTCTTACTAGGAATTTGTCATTCTATTGACTTTTTCAATGAATCGTCTTTAGCATTATTGATTTTTTTTTCCTGTTATTTCATTAACATTTCCTTCTTTGGGTTTAATTTGCTACCCTTTTTTTGAAGCTTTCTGAAGTAGAAGCAAGCCATTAGTTTTAAATATTTCTTCTTTTCTAATAATAAATTTAAAGATATACATTTTTAAGTATTAGCTGCATTTAACAAATTTTATGCTGTATTTTATTTTTACTGTTTAGGTTTTTGACTTTGTTTTGGGAAGGGGGTTAGTACTGTCTATTGAACCCAGACTTTGTACCAGGCAAGCAGTCTAATACTGGCCCTCATTGCCAACCCCTGGTATATTTTCTAATCACATTTGTGATTTCTTTGTAGAATTAATGTTGTTTGATTTTCAAATATATGAGGCATTTTATTGTTGACTTTTAATTTGTGATCAGAGAACATACTCTAAAAAATGTTAGTCTTGCAACTTACTGAGATTTGTATTACTGCAAAGCATTCCATGAGTTCTTAAATGTAATTGTATTTTGTAATTTGGTATAGTGTTCAATAAATGTCAGTTAGGCCAAGAATGTTGATAATGGTAATTAGATCATCTATAATCTTATTTTTCTCATATATCCTCCCTAGTGCACCCTAATAATTTCAGTGTGGCATTATATCTGATTATGTTGAACTCTTCAATTATGATTTTTCTTTGTCTCTTAATTTTCCCTTGGGCTTATTTGCATTTATTATTGTCAGGTATTCTAATAAATTGACCCTATTTTGTTGTGAAATATTTCTCTGTTCTTCCAAAGTTACCTGTGTCTGATGTTAATAATCATCTTCTTTCCACTTATAGTTTGAATGACATAACTTTTTTCATCTTCTGTTATCACATGAATTACACCTATTTACATAAACTACATAGTACAATGTTACTGTTTTGCTTTAAATAACATGTCCTTTAAAGAAATTAAGAGAAGACAAACATACAGTCCTTTATATTTACACATTCCATTTCTAGTCAGCTTGGAAAATGGATGGAGTTGGAGATCATGTTAAGCCGAATAAGCCAGATTCAAAGACCTCACATTTTTTCTCATACAGGGTAGAGAAAGGTAGGACGGAATTCCTTTGTGAGGTCTCCTGTAGATAAACTGTTTTCATTAAATTGAGAAACTCTTTACTTTGTTTCTTCTTTGGTATTAGCAAATGTTAGTTGTACGGATTTTATTTTGGCAGATTCGTAGCTCCGTGCAGCATGCTTTGATCATTTCTGCCCCATTCCCCCTGGCACTTCACTCCCGTTCCGTTTTCCCTTCATGTTCTGTAATAGTCCCCGTTGTACTTCCATGACATCTCTGATTTTTTTGTTGTTCTTGTTTGTGTTGTTATTCCATGTATGAGAAAAACATAAAATATTTGTCTTTCTGAGTCTGACTTATTTCACTAACAGGATGATCTGTTTCATCCATTTTCCTGCAAATGCCTCAATTCCATCCTTTGAGGCTGAGTAATAAATACTGTATTGTGTGTATATATACCTCATTTTCTTTATCCATTCTTCTGTTTGTGAACACCTAAGCCAGTTCCATAGTTTAGTGACTATAAATTAGGATATTTTGCTAGATGTAAAATTTCTGGGATGATGGATTTTTGTCTGTGTATTTTTAAGGATC